ACCCCGTGGCCCTAGGACATGACAAAATACATCAGATTCTCGCCCCAAGCAAATTACTCTTTTCCATGTTGCCCAATATTCGAAAGCCACGACCACTCGTACATTCCACCAAATTCGCGCCCCGGCAGCCACGATCCGTAATACATGAAGCAATATCCGCGCCCTCGAGGCCATGACCCTTTGCAAATTACGCCAGATTCGCGCCCCCGCGGCCACGATCCTTTCTAAATTCGCCAGCCCAACAAACCAGAGGGGTGCTAAGATCGTGTGTCTGGTTTAGAATATTTCTAGTTCGCGCGCGCGGGGCCGCCCCTGGGAGTCCCCCGACGAAGAGTACCCCGAGCACTGCACCCACAACCCAGGCTCAGAGATGTTACTTCGTCTTCTTCGTCGTCTTCTTCTTCTTCTTCGTCTTCTTTTTATCATTCTATAACAAATAAATGCGTCGCCTTCGAGGCTCCTGAAGCGCTCCAATAGCTCTCTAAAGAACCTCCAAGAGAACCCAAGATGGTCCAAGCCGGCCCGAGAGCGCTGACTATAGCCCAATATGATCTCTGGATGGCCCGAGACGCCTTCGAATCGCGTCAAGAGAACACCAAGAGAACCCCCAAGAAGGCCCCGAGGGGTACGGATTTTCGTGTTGTCGCCTTTTCGTGCTTCCGACCCCCCAAGACGATCTAGGAGGCCCCCAACATCGCCCCAAGACAACTCAAGAGGCTCCCAGGAGGGCCCCAAAGATGGCCCAATAGGTCCCCAATACGGGACAAGACGACCCCCAAGGTGGCTTCAGATGCCCCCAATATGGGAATCCGTACTTCAATTTGGAGCCCTTCCTCCAGAACCTGGCCCCCGAGACCGCCAGAAAGCTCCCAAATGGCCTCCAAGAGGTACCACGATGCAGCCACGAGGTCTCCGAGAGGCTGCCCTAGAGAGACCCCAACAAGTCCCCCAACAGGGCCTCTTGCCCACGACCCCAATCTGGCCGAAGGCCACTAAGCACTGCATACAGGATGAACTGGCGGCGTGAGCGAAGCGGTTGAATTCGGCGGGCCCCCTGCGGGCCCTCGCCGTGTTAGGCGTCGACGGTGGATGATGAGGTGGAGGACGATGGAGGAGAATGGAGAACCATGCATTGCTGCATGGGGCATGGCAGCAGCGGCCTCGCGCATTCCGCCGGCCTCAAGTTGACCGATTCCCCCAATTCTCCAGTGGACGCGAAACGATACTAGTGAAACGTCCTCCTAGCGCTAGGCCCACTCGCAGGACAACTCCTGGGACACGCGCAAGTACGGGTGAAACGTGCTCCGGTGGCCCCACACGGCAATTTCGCTCGGGACATCCTCAACAAATCGGCTTCGGAAGGGACATCTCAAAAACGGCCGTGTCGCTCGGGACATCCTCGACAACTCGGCTTCGGAGGGGTGGTTCGGCATACTACTCGTGCACTTCGTGAAAGTTTGGCGCTCAGCTGGTCCCCGACACATCTTCTTGGAGCCCCAATTCGGCACACCCTTCACGCACGTCGTGCTCTATGGACCCCAAGAAGCCCTTAGCTGGCCTCCAAGACGGCGTGACCCCCCAAGGGGCGCAAATACGCCCCAAAGAAACATTGCAATGCTTGGTGCCGACACTCGTCGAGGCAACACCTCTACACCCACGGGCTGCAAAGCATCTGCGTGCAAACTGCCTCCTGGGGGCCCGCCGTGTCTCCCACTCCTGCGGGCTCCATCGCGCAAGATTCGCGCCCCCGAGGCCACGATCCCTCATACATCGCGCCAAGTTCGCGCCCCCGAGGCCACGATCTGTTGCACGTGAAGCAAGGCTCGCGCCCCCGAGACCACGCTCCCCTGCACATCACACCAGGCTCGCGCACCCGAGGCCACATTCCTGCGCAAGCTACGCAAGATTCGAGCCCCCGATGCCACGACCTGCTGTTGTAAATCATTTCAAAGTTCGGGCCCCCGAAACCCACGAGATCTGGAAAAATGGCACACCGTTCGCGCCCACGATGCCACGACCCCGTGCACATCACGGCAAATTCGGGCACCCAAAGCCACGAGCCCTGGTCTGTACCAAATGGCACCGCGCTCGCGCGCACCGACGGCACTGCACCGACCCGCACTCCAGGCTCCGCGGTGCCACCGGACAGCCACCGGCGCAGGACCCCGTACCAAGGACAGCCACCTCAGCACCGGACCTGTCGCCCACCAAGAAGCACCGCCACGCCCCCGCTTAAGTGCACCCCCCTGCCCTACGCAAGCACTTTCGGCGCCGCTCAGCGCCGGCCTTCCGCTCGCTCGCTGGGGCTGGTACTGCGCCACCTGCCGCCCAACTCCAACCACGCAGCGTCGCATCTTGGCCCCATGTCATGTGACGTTTCCGGCCCTCGTCCAACACTCGAACAAACCGGGGCGCCGTGCTGCCAGATCGCCCCGATATCCTGTTGCAGCTGGCTGACCTGCTCGTCCACTAAGGCGAACGTCTTGTCGGCGACCTCCTGGGCGTCCAGCGCCTGCTCGAGGAGCCTGGGGGGGAGCTTCTCGTAGGTCCTCTCGGCGGCAGCCTCCGCTACAATCACGAAGGCCCCAGCCTGGCAGGCGATCTTCTGCCCGGAGCTTTTCTCGAGCTGCGCCGTGATGTCCGCCTGATTAACGCAGCCAGCTGCTCCGTCTTTTTCGCGATGATGCCGCCCTTTTCCCCCAAGAGGGCGTCGCAGACGTACCCGAAGACAGCCGAGCTGCCCCGTCGCCCGAAAAGCTGTATGACTGCTGGGAGGTGCCCCGCCCGAGCCATCCTCTGCGCTCCAGCCGCTCTTGATGAATGCCCCGTGATATGCAGCGAATGGCCGCCCACTTGCTGCACGACGTCCCTGTAAAACCGAACCGCGTTCTTCTGCATCGGCTCGCCGAGGACGTCGACGAAGAGGGGCCAATCAACCGAGTGATGGCGGCCTGTTTTGTGACGGAGCTCCCAGGGAACCTCGGCTACACGGCGCATTGCCCGCGCCGGGCACAATGGCGACGGGCGTGCGCATGCGAGTGCCCGCGTCTCCCCCAACGCCGTGCAGTCTGCTTTCGACGCAGGCAAAAGCCACTCCGCCCAACCGCGCGGCTGATCTTGAGGCGAAGCCGCCTCGTGCAGTGTGACGTGCGACAAAAACGCCGCAGCCGACTCGACCTCCCTGACAAGCCACGCACACGAGACAATCATTGCGTCGACCCCCGCAGCTGGCCAGTACGAGGCCCTGGCTGCATGGATCTTGGGCTGGGCTGCAGGTTCCACGATGGCCTCGAGAGGGAGGGGGTCTGCCTGCCTCGGGGGGCCGATCCCTCGCGTCAGCGCGCGACGCGCGTCGGACACGATCAACGACTGCAACAGCGACCACCCGCCGCCTCGAGAGAGGTGCCATCTCTTGATCGCTGCGAGGTACACCGCCCCTGATCTGTACCCGCCCCTGTGGAGGAGGGCGGCTGCCAGCCGCAGTTTTTCTGGAGTCACCGGGAAGGGGGTGATACCTCGTGCATTGCAGCGTAGCTTCCACCATCTGGCGCGCGCCTTCGTCGATTGCCTCGACGACGATGCCGGCGCAACAGCCTGGACCCCCCTGACAGCGCGCACGCCCTCGGCGGGGCCGTCGAGCGCCTCCACCGACCCCACGCGATATCTGCGCCTAACTGGGGCATGTTTCCTCCACGGATGAGCGGAACTAGCCGGTCCCACAGGGGGATGCTGGGTGCGCTTGCTCCTCCGGGCCAGCTTGCTCAGCCTCCAGGCGCGGGGCTGCGGCTGTGCGATGGTGGCGTCTTCGGCGCTGCTCGAAGACTCCTCCGCCTCCTGCTGCGCGTCTGGCGGCTCTGGCGCGGCCGCGGATGCTGGGCGCGCTGGCGCCAGCGTTGCCCGGAACTGCAGCTGCTCTCGCAAAGCCGTCGGTGACAGACGCGGCGCGCCCTGTAAACCGCAATTCGGCTGCGTCGAGGGGCGAACTGGGACACTGCGAAGCCTGGTCTGCACCCGGAGCCCATCCTGCCACGCCTGCAGCGAAGTGCTGTTGGCGCGGCTCTGCGTGCTCGCCCCCCCCGCCTGCGCACCAGCGCGCGCCTGCAGAGCAACGCGCAAATCCCACGGCGAGGAGGCCATCGTATCAATGCACGAACTGCGAGCCCGCAGCCAAAACGGTTACGGTGGCGGAGGGGGGAGGGGGGGGGGGGAGTTTTTTTTTTTTTTTTTTTTTTTTTTTTTTTTTTTTTTTTTTTTTTTTTTTTTTTTTTTTTTGTTTTTTTCTTCTCGGCACCCGCGCCTCATACAAGCAACAACCGAATACATATCACTTGCAATTCCTATGCAAGCACCCTCAGGGCAGCCGCCTGCGGGGGGATAGTCCTGAGCGCGCGGGTGGGCAGCCACCGCCGGCACTCCAGTAGACAAATACCGCCTGCGCGGCCTGTGCAAGCGCTCCCAGGGCAGCCACCTGCGGAGCGATAGGCCTGGGCGCGCGAGTGAACAGCCACCACCGGCGCCCTAAGGAAAATACGCCGCCTGCACACCATGCGCAAGCGCCCCGGAGGCAGCCGCCTCCAGGGGGACGGGCCTTGTGCACGAGTGGACAGCCCCCACCGGCACCATAATGGGAAATACATCGCGTGCAACTCCGATGCAAGCGCCCCGAGGGCAGCCACCTGCGGGGAGGTGGGCTGGAGCGCGCGGGTGGACAGCCGCCACCGGCACCATGTGCGCTCAAACTCCGCAGTACTTAGCCAGCACTGCCACGGTGCACAGCCCGCACCGACACAGCGCAGCCAGCTGTGACCTACAGGGGGACTTCCGCGCGCAACAACTGCCACGGCCCCCTCGCTGGCGTGGAGCATGCAAACTCGCTCACTTCCTCCGGGTACTCCGCGCCCTCGCGGTGGCGACTGAGGGCATCGGCGACCGGGCCGCGTGCAGATCCAGCATGGGCGCCCCAAGGCAAAGCTGAATCTCAGCTACGATGCCGCGCCCTCCTGCGCAGCACTGCCTGGATCACGCCCTTCGCGTCGCCCCACAAGACGAGGGATCCAGCGCAGCGGGGCAGCAGTCGCCGCCAGGTGCAGACGGCGATCAGAAACGCGAAGGTCTCCCAGATTGCCTGCGATGCTGGATCGTGCCGGCGGGCTCTGAGAAGGCGCTCGTCCTGCGGGCGCCGTGCCACCGAGAGTGAGAACCGGCCGAATTCGCACTGCAACCATGCGCCGCCTCCCGTTGTGGGCGCATCGAAGCCGATCTGGGGCTGCGACGTTCTGGACTGGCACTTCGCGGGGAAGACGCGCGGGAGCTTGGCCACCTGGGAAGTGCAAGAGGCGATGATCCACCTCAGCGGCAGGACCACGCGTGCGCTTGAGAGCATGTCGCCCGTCTCTGTCCCAACGCGCTTCGCCGCTGCGGGGGCCCGGCACATCTGCGCAAACGGCCGCGTGGCCGGAACGATCGATGCGACCGCGAGGCTAGGCCGCATAACTCCCGAACACGTTTCCGATATATGAAGGCTTCCCCCAAGAACTTGGACGCCTCGGCGCAGGCCTTCTCCATCTTCACGTCGGCAATGGCGACCGCAATGGTCGTCGTCTTCTGGGAGGCGTCCGCCCGAAGCGCAATCGACGCCCCAAGCCAGTCCACTTTCACCCCCTCGGCGGCCTTGCGCCAAGACATCTTGAAGCCGAGGGCCTCCCACAGCGGCGCCGCCGCGCAAGAGTTGCGCCGCCTGCGCCCCGTCTCGCCCCGCAGCCCGAGGATGGGTCATCGACGTAGCGCTGCGCGGCAGGCTCCGCCGCAACGAACATCGCGGCCGTGGCCCGCATGAGGAAAGCTGCCGCCCTGCCCCAAATCAGCGGGCCAACAGTAGCTCCGAAAAAAAACAGCGCCTTGTAACGGAAGAAGCCAAGTGAGCCGCGAAGCGGGGCTGCGCCTGCCAAGAAGCGCCGCTCTGACGGCTCGGCCCGCATCTGCTTGAAAGCATCATTGAAGACAGCCAGCTCGAAATCGTCGCTGCCCTCGGCGTCCTGGGGCGCAATCCGGACCGACTCCACCGCGTCGGTGATCCTAGGGGGAACCACTCGCTCAGGGATTGTCGCCATCTCGTTGGCTCCGCTCCGCCGCAAGTCGCGTACCAAGCGGACTTTGGCACGCTCGTTCACCTCCTTCGCGATGACCGCGATCCGGGAAAGGTGCAACTTGCCGACCTCCAGCTCCAAAGCGCTCCCGTCCGCCGACCAACCCAGGTAGCCCATATCGCACTCCTTCTCGATTTCCGCCGCGGCCAAATCGGAGTTCTCCTCGAAGGAGGCGTAGTTGATGAACTCGCGCGCTGCAGGGTGCCGCGCGCCCTGCTCGTCTGGAGCCGCAGTCGCCACGTGCTCCGGCCCGGCCGGAGGGGGGATCCCGTGCACCTCGATGCTCATCGTGATCCCGAGGGGGGCATGGGCCATGAGCCAGCGCGGCGCCGACGTGTCTGGGTCGTCTGCAGCGCGACGCAACGCGTCGATGAAGTGCGCCTGAATCGACCCATGCTCGTCTTCGCGATTGCTGCCGTCAACGGCCCCGAACTCCCGTGTCAAAATGCCCCGCATTTTGTCCCGTGCCAACCGGAGGGCATCTTCTGGGAGCCCGGGCGCCTCGTCGGCGCCGAGCGTATCAAACGCGCGCTGCTCCACGCCCGCCCGGTCGCGCAAGGCGTTGTCGAGTCCTGCCCGCATGCGGCTGCCAACCGGCTCCCAACGAGGCGTGTGCAATGGCGACTGGTGGGGGTCCCCCATGCCGCCGATGTAGGTGTCATTCTCGTTCTCGCGTCGCTGCTTCTTCGCCTCGGGCTCCATCGGGCCGACCGCCCCCTCCGAAGTGATGAAGGCCCTTTTGACGGGCTGGTGGCGCCCCTCGACCGCCATGTAGGCGTCCGCGATCACATTGCAGAGCGCGGACGGGTACTCGGCCGCTCTCTCCGCCAGCAACCCGAGCGACCCATCGGCGAGCAGCGTGTGCCCCGTCAAAGGGATATGTCTAGCATGCTGCGGTTCCCCGGGGCGTCGGCGCTCCAGCGCATCCAGCCAGGAGGCGTTGGTAAGCCACCTGGTCGGCTTCTGATATGGCCCCCCGCCAATGCACTGGTCCCCGTCGCGCGGTCGAACTCCCGGCAGGCTCGCCAACTTTCGAACGCACCGTAAATGCCACAAGAAACTCATGACAGGGCTCTCGATGCTGAAGAAGCCGCCCGCTCGCACCTGGGCGCGCGCCAACCTGCAGACGACTTGCGCCGGCCTGTTGTCCTCGTGGACCTTCCACGGCCGGAGGCGCGGAGGTGCAGCGCCCTCCGGCTGCGCCGCTGATCTGACTGCTCCAGCCCTGCCGCGAGCGCCAGCCCGCCGGGCGAGGCAGAAGGTTCCAAGCGGAAATGCAAAGTGCATCCAGTGGAAGTGCGGTCGTTTGATGGGCTTCAGGGCACCTTGCACGTCGGCCCCCCGACGCGGGTCGAAGTTTGGCATCGTAGTAGCGTCTATCCCTCTGCGCCGAAGCTCCATGGACAGCCCGGCGACTCCAGCGAAGACCCCGCGAAATCGGCGGCCGCCCCCCTCTGGCACCGCCAGCGGCGGCAGCGCCCGCGCGCCTGGCGGCATCAGCGACTCGCGCGGTCAGGACCGCGGCGCGAGCCGGGCACCGCGCTCTCGCTCGGCAGACGGCGTCGCCGTAGCTCCAGACGAATCCTGCGGCGCGGGCCGGGCGCCGCGCCCTTCACCGCCCGCTGGGGGGCGCCAGACTGGAGCGTCCGTATACGCTCAACCGACACTGCCCTGGACAGAGCAGCGCTGGCGTCACCAGCTCTCACGGATCGCACTCTGCGCAGCGCGCGCGAGCGCGGCCGCCTGGGCTCTCAGCGGCGCGCCGCCCTCGCCTTCTTCTTGCCCTTCCCCTGGCCATTGCCCTTCGTATCTTGCGGTTTCCACCCGGGGTGTTGTGGGCGCTCGATGGACCGGTGAGCGCCGCGGCACCACTCACACGCATGTGCACGCTTGGGCGTAGATGTGCAGATAGTGCCACACCCGCCAGCGTTGCGGCTGAACTCGAAACAGATATCCGTGCCGTCGTCCATCCGCTTGAACCTCCCGTTGGCGGTGCGCTCGTTGACCCAACCACGCCACGACTTGCCGGGTCGATCCCCGCTGGAGCCCCCGCCAGAGCCGCCGCCGGGGCCCCCGCCAGAGCCGCCGCCACCAGCCGAACCGGTTGTCTGCTCGAATTTCCGCTTGGGCTGGCTGGCATGGCGGGGCGTGTCCCGCAGCACGGACGCAGCAGCACCGCGCGAAGCGGTCCGGGAGGCCTGCGGCCCCGCCAGAGCAGCTTGCCGACTGACCCAGCTCGGATTCTTGACCGACTCCGCCGAATCGATCCACTTCCGCGCCTGCTCCTTCAGCCGGTCCTCCCAAAACGTGAACCCCTCCATGGACTTGATGCCCGCATACAACGCAGAATTCCACGGCATGCTCGGGTCGAACGTGCTCACGCTGGGGTGCTGCCGGCTGAACTCCTCCTGCCGGCGGCGTTCTTCCATGCACCACTCCATGCGAAATTCCCAGCATCGGCCTGGGCACAGACTCACCAAGCCTCCTTGTAGTTCTCGCACAAATTGGAGAAGTGGGCCTTGTACGCGTCGGCGACGCCGCGCTCCAAGACCTCCGTCATGACGAAGCCCGTGGTTGCGAAGTCCCACGCCTGCTTCCAGTCGTCGAGGTCCAGGGCGCCAGACATCTCGAACGGATGGTACACGCCGTCTGGCCCAAGCCGGTGGGCCTTCAGCATCATGTGCCTCTGCCTCCGGGCGTCGAAGGGACCGAAGACACCCATGTCGAAGCCCAACATGTTCCAGTCCACCGACTTGTGGCTGAGGAGGATGGAAATCTGGTTGTTGCTCGGATTCACGCTGCGCTCCGGCTCCGGCTTGTTGGCCGCAGTCCACTTGGCCCGAGCAGCCCGGATCTCCGAATCGGGGCGAAGCTTGACCACAAGCTTACACCCCTGGTCGAAGATCTCTCTGACCCGCAACGACACACCATCCTCCTTCCCCCTTCGTGGACTCCTCGGCAGCGGTCGCCAGCGCTCCTCCCAGAGTGGGCGGCGCTGGGGGCATGGCCGGGGCGAACACGTCAGACACATCCATGCCGTGCGCCTGGCGGAGGACGTTGACGAAGATGTTGATGCGCATCTTCACGACGGGCGAGGCGTCGACCCTCCCGGCCGCTTGGACGAAGTCAGCGTCCCGAAACGCCGCGATGGAGATGCCCTCCTGCAGATTGTCCTCTCCCAGCGCCGCCGGCCATACCTTCCACGTATCTGGCGAGAGCTTCGCGAAGTTGAGCGCTTCGCTGAAGTCCTCGTACGGGGAGGCATCCTGTGGGAGCAGCTTCATGAACGACATGGCACCTGCTGCGAAACCGGGGTGATCAGGTACAGCCAACCTGAAATCGAATCCGAGAGAGAACCAATCTCCCCCAGCCTAACAAGAGACAGCCACTCTCGTCCCCTCGAGCCAAAATGGCCGCGGATTCCGTGACGTCCACACGGGTATCCATGACCTGACTGTCCACCCACCTCCCCTCACTCTGCCTCTGCATGTTGCTACGTGCATTCTGTACTACACAACAAAACTGACGATGACGTATTACATATAGCAAAGGAGAATAACAATCCGCCGAGTCCGGAAAAGGAACGCCCACACTCATCGACACTCCCGCACAACTTCCAGCGCGCGCGAGTCACTTGCGACGGGGGACACGAGATAACACTCTCCCAATATTGTTGCCACAAAACGCACAACCCCCGGATTTGGGCTCGTCCATGCTGAAGCGCTGGTATCTTACTGGAGAATTCCATAAGGGATAAGAGGGGCGTGTGTTCTTCCCGACGGAGGTTGAAGAGACGGGACTTTTCAACAGTTTCGGACAGTGCCTGAACTTTAGATGCTAGTCGAACCTTCCCCTTCTGCGCAGTATAGGTCGTTCGTTGGGGACCGAAGTCACCATTCGAAACTCTGGACCCGTCCAATACGAAACACAGCACTCCCATCGGCTGTAGACGTTTCCTTGCCATTGATCGCTCGGCACGGCTCAGATCGCATTGCGCGCTGAAATAACTAAGATTGATATCATTTTCCTTCTCTGTTCAAAGATGCTGCCGCGAAGCGGTACTCAGGTGACAGACGACTGCTAGCGTGCTAGCGTCATGAAGAGTATGTATAGTCAAAAAAATAGGCACTGGGAGTTCCAGCTGATCCTGGCGTCACCATGACTCCTAGACCTTGTACAAGTCGCACGGGTCAGGCGAATATTACTTCGCCCGTACGTCCGGTGCAAACTTGTTGGGGGGTGGCACGCCCAGGGCTGCCATCCTCAGAGTCAGCTCACAGCATGGGTGCGAGAAGAGCGAGAGGGAGCGAGGGAGAGGGGGGAGGAACGAGAGATGGATGGGGAGGGGAGCTACGGGATGGGGGTGCAGGGAGGGGGCGAGAGACAGGAGGAGAAGAGGTGCGGACGACTATGGACAGAGGGACTTCGCCCGCTGTCCGTGCCGGAGCGCCGCGTCATTGGCGCCCCGCGCGCCTCCCGACCCCGCCCGCTCCCGGGGGCCGACGTCGATGCGGCAGCGCCGGGCCTCGGGCACGCCTCTGCTCTGCCTCGGTGTTTGGAGAGGTCGGGGTCGAAGTCCCGGTCGGGCCGCGAGCGCGTCGCCCGGCACGCGCGAGCCAGGAGGGGGGCGAGCCAGGACATCGGTCCTCGATCGATCGTCGACCTATCCTCCTCGATGGTCGATCCTTCTGTCCTGCCCCGGGAGTCGCCCTCGCTCGGAGACGCCCGTTCCCCGTGCGTTTGTCCGAAATCGTCCGCAGATGCTGTCCTCGCGGGACAGGATGCTCTTCGATGGTCCTCCCCCGAGAAGAAAATTGCACACGTCCGAGCGATGCCGTGCCCCGCACGCCTGGCCCCCAGCGGCCAGCGTGCCGGGGGGGGGGGGGGGGCAGCACGGCCAACGTGTCAGGGAGGGAGGCGACGAGGGGAGGCGAGCAGCATGCAGCATGCCTGCTCCTCCTGCTCCTCTTCCTCTCCGATATCGTCGCTGTCCTCCTCTTGCGTGGCGCTTGAAGCGTACGCGTGGCCAGACTCTAAGCGTGACGCTTGAACGTGGCCAGACTCTAAGCGTGACGCTTGAATCTACGCGTGTCCTCCTCCTTATTTTGGACGTTGGCCAGACTCTAAGCGTGACGCTTGAGGCGTACGCGCGGCAAACAAAGGTAACGGTAACTAGCCGACCTAGGCTTGTGAGCGAACGAACTGCGCCTTCGGCGACACGCAGGAGTGACCCTGGGTAACAATGACCTTCGGTGTGCGGCTTTTTGGGTGGCGCGGGGGGCCCGAACACGAGTGCACAAAACGATGTTATCGCATCGCGTTCGTCAATCGGGGGACCCCAATGTGCCCGAACCAAAGGTCACTCCAGCGAAGGGTCACTCTTACGTCTAGTCGATTCCTGCTTATCTTCCTCTTCCTCGTCCCACCGCTCCAGCCTCTTTCTCTGAAAACCAGCAGCAGCTGTGGGTGCTGAACGCCTTCCATCGGAACAACGTACTTACCCAGTAGACCCGCCTGTCGAGAGGAGATTTGGGGTGGGGGGGTGCACTAGTTCCTGTGTCCCCACTGCTTTTTCATGGTGATCTGAAATGTACTGTTTCCCCTCCTGCGCATATTTTGTAGAGAGGGATGGGAGGGAAGGGGAGGGGACGCGGAAAGCCGATGATCACCGTATCACCTTCTCTCTGTGCAGTGCCAGGGACCTGGTAAAAGCGGGCAGCGCGGCCAGGCGCAAAACGATGCGGAATTGGACTGCAGCTCCCCGCGCCCACTCGCCGACACATCAATCTGATCATGGCTATACTGCGCCACTAAAATGCCGCACACGGGTGGAGGCAGAGATGTAACGGTAGGCGATGTGACGCAATGCGGTGCTGTCCTGTGCCGTTGCATGCTGCGTTTTTCGCGTGTGGCCCTCCCCTCTCCGTCCCCTGCTTTATGCCCACCTGCCGCCCCAAGTGCCCCACTGACTGCCTCCTCGCTGGGTGGTCATCCTTTAACTAATCGGGGCACCGCCGATACACCATCGAGAAAGACATCCTGACACAATCGAACAACAAATCAACCAGGACACCACTTCTGCATCAACCGGGGCGCCCATCGGGGCACCGTCTCAAACCAATTAACCAGGGCACCGTCGGGACGCTATTCAAATCAGTTGGGACACCGTGGACAAATCAATCGAGGCACCCATCGGCACACAGTTGAATCGTCAACCAAAAAGTTCATCGGGACACAATCGGTAGAATCACCATGAGGAGACCATCTCAAATCAATCGCAACACCATTGCAACGTAATCCAGACACCGTGAAACATACTTCGTTCACCATCGGGACACCATCGGAAACCAATCGGGACGTCATCGGGACACCATCGAATATCAGCCCAGACACTAATCTGGACACCCTGGACAAAACCGAAAATCAACTAGGACACCGTCATTCAACGAAACGGGACACCCATCGGGACACCGTCTCGAGTCAAGCCTTGGAAACGGCCTCGGGAGGCTGCTCAACACGACACTAGGCTTGCGAGAAACCCGCCACTGGCGGGTCGCTTGGTCCAAACTCTGAGATTCCGACCGCTCGAGAGACTCGGCAAATTTGGGCAGAATCCGACCATGGTAGCTCTCAGTGCCGGAGCGTCCTCCGCCTCCTCCTCCTCCTCCTCCTTCGTTTGGGGTACACGAAAGGGGGATTGGCGCAGGGAGAATTGAATCAGGGAATCAGCTGCACATGACTGGCTTACCTGGCGCCTCCTGTCCCCGACTGCGGCTGCGTGCCGAGGGGAGCGCCCATCGGTGGAGCCGAAACTTGCTGCACGCAGCAGATTTTGTTACATCGCCTTTTCCACATCACTCAAAGGGGCCCTGGGACACACAAAAAACTAGACACGAATAACAGGATTCCCAATCTTTTCCCATACTTTCTGGTTTCTCGTCTTCCCCCCCACTTCCCATATTTTCCAATATTTTCCGGGGGAATCATCGATTAATTGTGTCTGTTTTTTTTTCCCCTCCTGCATCACCTCTGCCTCTCACCTCCTTCCCGTCCACCCCGACTCCCTCCCGTTCAGTGCGCCGCAGCTCATTCTTCATCCTCTGCCCGCTCTGCCTCCTGGGCTACGCTGCGCCGTGCTGCGCCATGCTGTGCCATTCGATGCTGCACAATGCTGCTGTGCCATGGTGTTCAAGGCGGTGCTGTGCTGTGCACTGACCCATGCGGTCCCGCTCCTGGGGTCGCTGTGGGAGTCGGGCCGCACCACCAGGGGCTCGTACGCGGCCTCGGACGTCGGTCTGAGGAAGTCCTGTTCCGTTCCGACGGCAGCTCTTCTGGCTCGGAGGGCGAGAGGGAGGGTTTAGGAAGCAACTACTGGAAAGTCCTCGTCAGAACGATTGATGGCTATTGAACCCGACATAGGGGCCACTGAGCTGGATGAAGCCGGGTCAAGACCATGATCAAACTGGAACAAACGCGATTGAGCCGGATTAAACAGGATGAAGCCGGATTAAGCGGGATTCTCCAGATTAGGCCTCCTTTCGACCAGGAGTATACCAGCGCCGAATCTGAATTTGACCTCCCAGTAAACGCATCCTAAGAGGGGCAAGGATGAGAGAGGGGGGAGGAAGAGACGCTGAGTAAGGAGCGAACTGGCTTTTCTGGCCACGGCGAGCCTCGGCCACGAAGAGATTCCACGACCTAGATCTAAGGAACGGCTCGAAAACCCGAGCCCCCTTCTGAGCCTTAAACGGTCCTCATACCAGCGTCTTGACTGGAGGGTCTCCTGGCCTCGGCTACACGCAAGAGTGACCCTAGTGGATGCCTTCCGAGTGGGGTCCGAGCAGATGGGATTGGAGGGTTGCGCGGCATCGCCGATGCGTCGCCGATGCATCGGCAATGCGGCGCGATCCTCCGACACCATCTGCTCGGACCCCACCTGGAAGGCCAAGACCTACAGTCAACCCGTAGAGTAAGGACGCACGATACGGATACAAGGGCCTTGGAAGGCCATGCCGACACTTTTACGAGCGGGGCGTGGCCGACGAAAGCGGCCAATGATGGGTCGGGGGGGAAGGATGCCAGGGCAACCTTGAAACATTGCTCATCCTTACTATGCGGGTTGACTGCAGGCAGGAGTGACCACGACCTTCGGTGCGCGGCTTGGAGGGGCCAAATCGAAATCAAAGCGCGCAGGCCGACGATAGGGGGATCCCCTGTGAGCTCCCGCACCAAGAGGCCACTCTGCCGACGGGCCACTCGCACCGCATGCGTAGCCGCAAGACGGCGCATGGCATGCATCATCCTACGGTCCAGGATGGCCCCGGCCGACCATGGCGGTGCACACGAGGGGCCTCCTGCCATCTGGCCCCGCTCAAGCGGCCCGGAGGGTCTCTCAGAGGGGGGCCGCGGCGGTGCCGACTCAGGCCGAGGCAGCTCGGCCATTTGACAACATACAGTGGCCTCGGAGAGCCTACATCTCACCATCGCTCGGACGTCCATTCCCCGTGTTTTTTTCGATTTCGTGCGTGCATTCTTTGGCAATCTGCTCCGAGATTCTCCTCGATGATTCTCGCCGAGAGAAAATGCACACGTCTGAGCGATGCCAAGACATAAGAGGAAGCCTCCCCAGGGTGCAGCTGGCCCCCAGTCTGTTGCAGCCGCCCGGGCGCACATCTGGGTCGACGCAGATCTTGGCGATGGCGGCGTCGAGGCACCTCAGCGGGAAGTTCGCCTGCGCGGGAAGAGGCCGACCACGGGAGAAGGGTGTTTTTTTGCTGTGCTTGTGTTGTTGTTTGTTTGATGTGTTGTTTTTGATTATATGTTGTGGTGCTTTGTTTGTTTGCTTGTTTGTTTGTTCGGCTGTTTGTGTGTTTGGTTGTTTGTTTGGTTGGTTGGTCGGTTGGTTGGTTGTGTGTGTGTGTGTGTGTGTGTGTGTGTGTGGTGTGTGTGCGTGCGTGCTTGTGCCTGGCTGTTTTTGCTTTTTGTCCTCCCAGAGATTTCAGCGTGGCGCCAAGGCCCCGCGCCGCCGGGCCTCAGAAGCCCCATCCCTGAGTCGTGAGGCCGCGCGCGGCTGGCGCCTCGCGGAGAGGGAAGCATGCCGCGCCGCGGAGACTGTCTCCGCCCAGCCACAGATTATTGAGGGGCACGGCGAAGGGATCTGCGGACCCGGGTCAATCCAAACCCGGGTCAGTCAAGCCTTGCAGGATCCTGCAGGATCCCGCGCCCGGGTCAGTGCGCCCCTGCCGCTGCGGCATGAGCTGGTTTCGCCGGCGCTGGTTTCGCCGGCGCTGGTTTAGCCCCGCTGGTTTCGCCGACGGCTGGTTTCGCAGGCGCTGGGTTCGCCAGCGCTGGTTTCGCCCCACTGGTTTCGCCCCGCTGGTTTCGCCGGCGGCTGGTTTCGCTGGCGCTAGTTTCGCCGGCGCTGGTTTTGCCGACGCCGGCGTCGGCGTCGGCGTCGGCGTCGGCGTCGGCGTCGGCGTCGGCGTCGGCGTCGGCGTCGGCGTCGGCGTCGGCGTCGGCGGCGGCGGCGGCGGCGGCGGCGGCGGCGGCGTCGTCGTCGTCGTCGTCGTCGTCGTCGTCGTCGTCGTCGTCGTCGTCGTCGTCGTCGTCGTCGTCGTCGTCGGACCCGAGCGGGCGGGTCGGGTCGGGCGGGCGGACCCGAGCGGACGGGTCGGGTCGGGTCTAGCGGGCGGACCCTAACGGGTGGGTCGGGTCGGGTCGGGTCGGGCGGGCGCCCTAACGGGCAGGTCGGGTCGGCCGGGCGGGACATTGAAGCGTGGGGCACGCTCGACCGAGCACGCGCGAACCCTAGCGGGCGGGTCGGATCGGGCAGTTTCGCCAACGGCAGCTGGTTTCGCCGACGGCAGCTGGTTTCGCCGACGGAGGCTGGTTGCTGACGGGTTTCGCTGGGCGGCGAAACCAGCCGGGCGAAACCAGCCGTCGGCGAAACCTGCGGTTGCCAGCGCTGCAGGATCCTGCAAAATCCGGCGCTCTGACTGACCCCCGTTTGCATCGACCCCCGTCTCAAGGCCCCCGAATGGCCCCTCCAGAGATCGCGCCAGCCAGGGTGCTCGCGCGCCCGCGTCCCCGATGCAACTGCCATGCAGCTTCAGCTCCTGCAGCCGCGGCGCGGCGCCAGCAGCCGGCACCCTGGTGAGCGCCTGCGCCTCGTCTTCGCCCAGGGCCGCGGGGTCACTGTAGAGCAGCGCCATGGTCTCGCTGAGGCGGGCGTCGAAAGCTGTTCGGCAGACCGCTGCGACAAAAAGCAGCCATTCTTCTTGCCAGGTCGCCGCAGAACAACTCCGTGGTCTCGCCGAGGCGGGCGTCGAAAGCTGCTCGGCAGATCGCCACGACCCTGGAGCAGCCGGCCGTCTTGCTCGTGAAACTCTTCAGCTCCAACTAGGCCGCGAAGTCCTCGGGTCGCTGTAGAACAACTCCGTGTCCTTGCCGAGGCGGGTGTCGAAGGCCGTCCAGATCGCCACAACTCTGGAGCGGTCGTGCGCCTCCTGAGATCCTTCAGCTCAGCGATCTGGCCCCTGAACGCTTCCATGGCGACTGGGGAGGCGAAGATTACTGCGCTGATGTATTCCGGTGTGACTTAAAGGATCTCAGGGTGTATAAGTCGGCTTTCTTGCTCGAGCAGCTCTTCAGCTCCAGCGAGGCCGCGAAGTCCTCGGGCGGCAGCGGCGCGGCTCTGCCAGCGATGCGCGCCTTTGCCAGAGCGGCTTTGGTGGGGGCCCGCTGGCTGGAGCAACGGAGAGTTTGGCAAGGTCAAGCACAACGAACCCGCTACTCGCGATCCCAGCGACGGAGGACTCGCAGTGGCACCATCCTCGCTCGTAGTAGGCGGCCTAATTCGGCGTGCGGTCCACGGGGGAAGCGAAGCCGTCGGGCTGCAGTCGGAACGTTGAAATACGGAACGCTGGAAATCCGCCGATCTGGCGTGTGAGTTTCTGAGAGCGTGGGCTTGAGCTCGCTCAAGCTTCGCTCTGCGGGAGGGGGGGGGCCTCATGTCCGACCTATTTCAGTGTTTCGCAGGGGGGGGAGGGGGGCCTCATGTCCGACCTAATTCAGTGCTTCGCCCCCCCCCCCCTCCCCCCCCTCCAGAGCGGACCCCCGCCCTGCAGAGCGCCCCCCCCCCCCCCCCCCCCCTCCCCTGCAGCCCAGCCCCCCCCCCCCCCCCCCCCCCCCCCCCTCCCCCCCCCCCCCCCCCCTTGCAGAGCGGACCCCTCCCCTGCAGCCCCCCCCCCCCCCCTCCTGCGGAGCGGACCCTCCCGCCCCTCTCCTGCGCCCCCTCTCCTGCAGAGCAGACCCCCGCCTGCAGAGCGGACCCCCCCCCCTGCAGCCCCCTCCCTGCAGAGCGACCCCCCCCCCCCCCCTCCCCCTCTGCACCCCCCCCTCCTGCAGAGCAGGCCCCCCCTCCTGCGCCCCCTCCCCCTGCAGAGCGGACCACCCCCCCCCTGCAGCCCAGCCCCCCCCCCCCCCCTGCAGAGCAGACCCCCCCCCGTGCAGCCCCGCCCCCCTGCAGAGCGGACCCCCCCCCCTCCCCTGCCCCCCCCCCTGCAGAGCAGACCCCCCCTGCTGCAGCCCCCCCCTGCAGAGCGGACCCCCCTCTCCTTTCCCCTCCCTCTGCCGAGCAGACCCCCCCTTGCAGAGCAGACCCCCCCCCTGCAACCCAGCTCCCCCCCCGTTGTCGTCGTCGTCGTCGTCGTCGTTGTCGTCGCGTCGTCGTCGTCGTCGTCGTCGTCGTCGTCGTCGTCGTCGTCGTCGCTCGCGTCATCGTCGTCGTCGTCGCTCGCGTCGTCGTCATCGCCGTCGTCGTCGTCGTCGTCGTCGTCGTGGTCGTTGTCGTCGACGCTCTCGTCGTCGTCGTCGTCGTCGACGTATTCGTTTTCGTCGTCGTTTTCGTCTTCCTCGTCGTCGTTCATGTCCACAGGCACCCGGAGCGCCCCGGATCGGCGGCACCGGCCGGAGGCCACTACAATGAGGAGCGAAGCCCCTGTTTGGCACCAGAAACGCCTGGCTGCACAACCATGGAAGAACCCGAGGCGCGCCGAGCCTTCCGAGCCCACGCTCGTGGCCATCCGCAAGCGCTGGCGTTCAAGGTGTCCAGGCGACCAGCGGGGCCTGGGCCACGCCTATGGGGATAGGGGTCGGCCAAACGATGCTCATAATGTGGATCGAGCTCGAGATCTCGGGGGGCATCGCGCGCGCTGAGAAGCACTCGGCGTTGGTGGCCGGGGCCCCCTCTCCACCGGTGGCGGCTCGATGGCGCATGCGGCCCCGCTCGTCTTGCGGCGTGTGGGGTGGCTTCTGTTCTGCAAGCTCGCTCTATACAGTCAAGGCGCTGGCGTGACAAACAGCGTGGGGTCGGAAGGGGCTCGGCGCGCCTCGGGTTCTTCCATGGCTGTTCCTCTGGCCCCCTGCGTGCAGCCATGCATATCTGGTGCCAAACAGGGGTTCGCTCCTTATTTCCATCGTTCCGTACTTCAACGTTCCGACTGCACCCCGACGGCTTCGCTTTCCCCATGGACTGCGCGCCGAATTAGGCCGCCTACTACGAGCGAGGATGGTGCCGCTGCGAGTCTTCCGTCGCTGGGCTCGCGAGCAGCGGGTTCGTTGTGCGTGACCTTGCCAAACTCTCCGTTGCTCCAGCCAGCGGGCTCCCACCAAAGCCGGAGGGTTATGAAACTCTGGCAAAGACGTGCATCGCTGGCAGAGCCCCTTCCGAGCCCGCGCTGTTTGTCACGTCAGCGCCATGTGGTTTTGATCCGGTCTACGGCGCCTGGGTCAAGATAAATGAGTGCGGCCGCGCGCGGCGTTGGCAGGGGCCCTCAGCTCGTGCGTTCGTGAGTTTGGCGACCCTCAAGAGGGCGAGAATGACAAAGCTGGGCGGTTGCACGCTGCGGATCCTCGCGGTCAGCGTTACACGTGGCTGCAGCCCGACCACCCCGACCCGCGGGGCGATTCCTTGACATCCTTGGTGTACAATCGAAATCGATGATAAGGATGGGGGTAGCCCTCCCGGGAGCACATTTGCATCCGTGCCTGGTCGGTCCATCCTCTACCGCTCTCCATTGCCAGCCCACTCGAGAAGCTTCGACATGGGCGCCCACGGGGTTTGCATCCATAACGCGCATCCTTACTATCAGTTTTGACTGCACGCCCTGCCTTCCCTCATGAACAGCGAGCTGCTGGGCGTGGGCAGTGAGCTGCTGGGCATCTTCATCGACTTCGCGTCGCTGGCGCCACGAGTGCGTCGAGAATGAGGGGGGCGCAGGACCTCCGAGCAGCGCGCCTTCGAGCCCGCCTCGGAGATGCCTGCAGAGCTTTGCGGCCATCCGCAAGCGCTGGCGTTCAAGGTGCCCGGGCGACCAGCGGGGCCTGGGCCACGCCTATTGGGATAAGGGGTCGGCCAAACAACGCTCAAACTGTGGATCGAGATCTCGGGGGACATCGCGCGCGTTGGGGAGCACTCGGCGTTGGTGGCCAGGACCCCGAGTCCTCCGTCGCTGGGCTCGTGAGTAGCGGGTTCGTCGTGCTTGAACTTGCCAAACTCTCCGTTGCTCCAGCCAGCGGGCTCTCACCAAAGCCGGAAGGTTATGGAGCGCTGGCAAAGACGTGCATCGCTGGCAGAGCCCCTTCCGAGCCCGCGCTGTTTGTCACGTCAGCGCCTTGACTGTGTAGAGCGAGCCTGCAGAACAGAAACCACCCCGCATGCCGCGAGACGAG